AAAACTATTAATACTAACTCTATTAATTTCATAAACAAATAAAATAAAATGTAATTTAAAGTGTCAAATGAAGGAAATGGATAGGTTTCATTAAAGAATATATTAATTTCAAAAATTAAATGCTACTATTTATGTAGGAGATGTGCTGGCCCAGAATTAAATCAATATATTCTGTGTTTTTATGGAACTCATAAAAATGGCATTTGTAAACAGTCTCTGTTTCTAACCCCTTTTTAATTTTTTCACCCACTTTTACTATGACAGGTGAAAAATGCTAAACAAATAGTATTTAAACCGAAAACTGCTAAAAAGTATCACATAATTCAATCCATTTTCCTTTTTTCTTCCTCCTCCAGAACTTTTTTTAAGTTATTTAATAATCTCTTAAAAATCACATAAACTATTTTGGAAAAAGACATTCCAAAATTCCTACCATATTTGTAAACACCATAAAAGTGATTTATTTAGTAATTATGAGCTCTTATTTTTTAAAATAATAAGAATTACTTGAAACTATGTTAATTATTATAATAAAGATAACATAAACTTTTTGATGATGTGCAAACTAAAACTATTATTTTTTTTAATCTTTATTTAGATAACCAAATAGGATTGCATAAGATAATTAAATTAATAATAATTAATAATAAGCAGAAATTATTAGAATGTGATAACTTATCATTCAGGTGCATTGATTTCATCAAAAATTAAAAACTATTTTAATAATGGGGATAATAGTCCTTGTTTAAGGGATAATCCTTATTTAGTTATGCCAAAACCAATCAATATAGGCTTTACCGGATGTGAATTGGGCCAATATATTTCCATCCTCTTCATGTAAAAATATTTATTGAATACATTAAAAATTTGGTTTTGGGATTTTGACTATCTTAATAATCAAGAAGTCAGGTCATACAATATAAATGTTTATGTCAAAATAGATTAGGTAAAAAAAAAAATCTTTGAGAGCCACTTAGCAAAAAGCATAATGACTATCGAATTTCCAGATTAGTTTGTTGAAGAGTTTTAAGTAACAAATTTAGGAGGTAATACTTACAATTCATATTTACACATCATCAAATTTGAAGCCTATTACAAATATTCATGAATTTTAAAATTTATTCAGAATTATTTTCAATCATTAATTTTATCTATAAAAATGTCAAGTTATGAGATTAGATTTATTAAATAAAGATTAAGATAATATGATTCTAGAGACACAAATGGGTTTGGTGTTTACTACCACACCTACTACTTGACAAGTACATACGTATACGTACGTAGTACTATGGTTGGGTGTGATACATAAAACTGAGAAAAGGGGTAACCCTGTCCCAATTGTGGATTAAAATTAAATATATCCATTTTTAAATGATTAAAAATCAAACAAAACAATTGTAAATCTTCAAACAAAAAAATAACAAAATAATAGCATCTAATTAAAATAATAGGAAAAATATATTTATTTAAGATTTAAAATCGATAAAAAAAAATAGATTTATTCAAATCAAGAAAAAATAAATTTACTGGGCTTGGGTTTGCCCACTAGTCTGTAACTTTCAGTAGTCACATGGTGTTGAATTTTCTAACCAATATGTTGAATCTGCTAAACTATTTAATCTTTTCTAATACCAAGATTTTAAACCTACCATAATCTTTTAAAATATACGCAAAATAATTTGAAATTGGTGAATTCTTGAATTCACGCCGCAATTTACTAAGTAAAATTATTCTTATTTGATTTCTTCATTCTTTAATTTTAGTTTAAAAAATAAAAACTAATAACCTGTTAAAATTCAAATTTATATTATTTATTTAATATTCATTATCATAAATCCTATTTATGTAAACATTTTTCTAACACTGGATCTATCAAATCGGCATGATTTTTTAAATATGTATTTTTTATTGTTTTTAAGCTCGAGTGTATTTATGTATTAAGTTTAGATGCAAATCTACACATTTATTTATTCAAATTTAATTTAAATTCTCCCCATACTTTTTCCATAGGATTTAATTATGGGCTATTAGGAGGCAAGAACAAATGAGTAACAAATTAATAAACATCTTTTATTAAATGACTTGCCTTATGCACAGAAGCATTATCAAGAATTAGAAAATAGTTCCTAAACTTAATAAAACATTTAAAACTTGCCAATGAAACATGTTCTTTTGATAGTTTCAAATCTTTTTTAAAATCATTGTATATTATTTATAAAGAAGATAATTTTTCTTAATTTTATCTATTAATATATTCTTCTAGCCATTAAGAATGATGCCCTAAAACCGAAACAAATAATCCATTTGATAGTTTCCTTTTGTTTGGCTATAAAAATCAAAAACTAATTAAAGTTTCTTCCTTCAATTACATCATAATAAAGATAAATAGAATAAGCTTGGTCTTGGATGTCTCCTCTATAAATTGTAAATATATTTTCAAAATTATTATTAGATTAACCGGTAGAAAATCTCTTTAATAGTATAATATGTTGTAAATTTAGACCTAGCTACTTAAAATTAGAGTGATGAGCCTAGAATAATACATCAGAATAAGAGGTATAAACTTTAAAGACTGGAGTATCAGATCATCCCAAGAAAGCACCAGATTAGACACGATGTCCATCATATACTGAGACATAACCATAAGATGCTTTAGTTTCAAAATTTGAGGTTCAGCTAGATAATTATTTCCATTTTTTGTGCATTAATTGAAATAAACTTAATTAAAATATTAAAAGTCAAAGTCAAGCTCTCTTATATGATGTATATTAGAAGTATATACCAATAATTTCATCATTATTTGTATATCCAAGAAATCCACAAGCAGGGTCCATCATATTTAGGAATGAAAGCAGCTTTGACTTTTGTTTAAGAATATATCTTTATTTTAGCACATTTTCCAATAGCTTCTGCAAGAAAAGAAATATTAATTTCTTAAAAGGCAGTGTGTGTGTCTCCTCAGGAAACTTAACAATCTGTATTTCTGCAACAATTAGTATTATTGATTTTATAAATTCTTTTTTGTAAAATTTAAATAAACAAAATCCCATCAGTATTTAGTTCTATCTATTGCAGTTTACTGTAAGTGTGCAACAAGAAAGACAATTATCACTTTCTGCAGTATAACAAGAAGTTAAATGCGTCATTTGGAGTAATTGAAACAATCTGTAGGTTTTACTGTTGCATTTGATAATTTATCCTAAGTGTAATTGCTTATGCCGGTCTGAAGTACCTATAAACTTAGTAGTTACTGGTCTTTTGTACAATTTTCTAAGCTATGTGACTATTAAGATTTTGACTGCTCTGCATTCTCTTCAGAGTAGGAAGATAAATTAATTGTTTCACAATTTATGACTTCATAAGATGTACAAATTCCATTGTTATTTACCAGCTCTAAATTAAAGACAATTGGCTTCAAATATGGCACTAGTATTTCTATGACAAGTTGCTTAAATATCTATGCAAGCAGACGATTAACGAAGTTCTTGTGTTCCTGGGTATTACGAGAATAATAATTAATGTACAGTATAAGCTAATTAGTGTTTAAATTTGAAGAATCATCATGTACAAAATGTAAAATTGGTTTTCAGAGAAATATATAATTAACAACTAATTTATGTTAAACAAATGTATGACATGTGATAAAGATGGATTCTTGTTCGTGGTTTTTATTTTGATTATAGTAATGTATGCTATGCTTGTCAATAAAATTAATTTTTAGATAATAATTAATGGATGTTTTGTTATTCATTTTGTGAAGCATCAAATACTAAATGTTAAGTATGTGCAACTAGACAATATCTTACATCAAATTTACGGGTACTGACACTTAAAAGAATTGCAGAGTTGGATTTTATCTAAATAATGTAACATGTACACAATGTATGACAGAATGTCTAGCGTCTGGATGGCTATTGTTAAGATGAAGCCAATTATCTTAAATGCAATTCAAATTGTAAGAAATGCATGTACAAAATGTATTTAATGCTGAATAGGATATAAAGAAAATAGTAGTATTTATTTTTTTGAACTTTATTTAACTGGACTTGGTTCAAATTGAGTTGATTGCACTGAAAATTGTGCAACTTGTCATTTTTGTAGGGCAAAACAGGCCTACTAGGGGATGGCTCTAATTTTGTACTTTTGAGTAAACAGCATTTCAAGAAAATGGAGGATATTATTATGCAAGTCCTCCTGGAATTTAGACTTAAGTGTTTAGACTGCATTTTGGATCTAATTGTACATAAAATTTTGATTCTAAATACTTGAGATGTAATACGAATGTGGCAATTAAATTATAAATTATTTTTCCCGAGTGTACAGCTGCTTCGAATGCATGTACTAATTGTTTTTCGGGAAATAATTTATATGAAGATAGTTCCTAATACAGGATCCTTAGCTTGATTATTCCATGGAACTTCTTCTCTACATGTGATGCAGGTTATGATAGATTCTATAAAGATGATTGTGCTTGGTCCTTGTATATCAGTTTCTTATAAAAATGGAGCTGATACATGTAGTGATACTGTTTGCATAGAGGAATTCTATTAACAAACTAGCTATATCTGTTAAGAATTTCCTTGTTTAAGATGCATTGCTAATACATATATAATATATATATTACGAAATATTGGTGGTTATTATCTGAATGCTACTACTAGTACAAAATGTGCTAGACTTTATAAGAGTTGTGTTTAGGATGTGAAATCTTCTCAAGGTTATTAAAATTTAAAACAATTTTTGTACATAATGTTTATATTTTTGTTCAAATTGTGATGCTAGTTTTAAATGTACATCTTGTATTACTTGGTATTATGAAAAACTGATGGATCTTTTTAGTAAATTTTAACTTTATATTCTGCTTTACTAAATTTTATACATGTTAAGCATGATATTATTATGACATGAAAAAAATAATTAACTTAATGTTAAAGGAGTTGAAACCTTTGTGATTCCTCTTAATGTCCTTTTTGTGTTCCTGGAAAATTTTATCAATAGTGTTCATCTCCTTGTGAAACTAGTCAAGATTGTTTAAATT